AATGCGAAAATATATATTTATATGTATATTCACGTAATGTATGATTTATTAATCACATGTGATAATATGTACATGTACATGTATATCGATATTCACGTAATGTATGATTTATCGGTCAGTGAATATGTCCACCCCTATCAAGAGCTACTGTATATCAATAGTAATTTGACGATCTGTGTTATATATGAAAGAAACCAATTTTATTAAGAAATTACAGGAAGTAATATTATTCTTTTCATAATGAAGTTATAATTACCAAGAAAACGTGAGTAAAATTCTTTAGGCAAGCTGTTCTCCAAGAGATATAAAATATTATTTTTAAAGTAGCATGACAATTAGAGTTTTGAGTTTTAGTCCATCTTAACTTAAAGACGACAAAGTGTTTGTTAAATATTGATTACGTATACGTATCAACGTTAACATCAACATTTAAAATTTTACGTAACTATAGCATAACGACAAGAAAAACTTTATATATCTATGACTTTACAAAGATAAAAACAACTTTATATAGCTACGACTTAAATACGACGATACGCCAAAATAAAAAACTCTGCATAGTTACGACTTTACAAGATAAAAACAACTTTATATAGCTACGACTTAAATACGACGATACGCCAAAATAAAAAACTGCATAGCTACGACTTCACAAAGATAAAAACAACTTTATATAGCTACGACTTAAACACGACAATACGCCAAAATAAAAAACTCTGCATAGTTACGACTTCACAAAGATAAAAACAACTTTATATAGCTACGATTTAAATACGACGATACGTAAAAATAAAAAAAAACTGCATAGTTACGACTTTATAATACGTTGACAAAATTAATCTTAGTAAGTTAGCATTAAACATTATTCACTTTATATTCTATGTTTTATTTTAAATTATAACCTAGTTTAAATCATAACCTTCTTTTCAAAAATCTTTATACAGATAACAAATAATGAATCGTTTTATTATAGAAAATAAGGATCTTTCGAGCTTTTTAGAAGGAGAAAATGAAATATATAAAGATCCGGATCATGAATATATTCTCCTAGATGATTCTGATGTACAATCAGAAGCTTCGATTGCTACGAATACGACAGTAAAATCAGAAACTTCAACTACCACCACGAATACAACCAACACAAGCAATTTATTTGGAAATGATAAAAGAAATTTTACCTTTACCGAGACAGTAACCAATTTTATAAAAGCCTATACGAATTTGAAATCTAATAGTAATGATCATTTGGATGAAGTTAACATTGATTGGCTTGATTCAGAAATAGATTCTGTTTTAGAAGTTGAATCTACTAATAGTCAATTAGAAAACGAGCAAGAATTGGACATAGAAATCAATAATTGTAACGAAATCAATAATTTTTCACAACAATGTATCGTTTTGGATTATAAAGAAGGAAAAATACAACGTTGTTCAAATTCAAGATTTCGGCCATTAAAACAACTATTAGGTATTTGGGAATTAGATTTTCAAACCGTTGATTCAATACTTAAGCAAAATCAAATAAAAGCATTAGAAACACTTAGTGTATGTTCCTCACACTTTAATTTTGATCAGGATGGCTTACACGAACGTGGTATAAAACAAGAAGTTTCAATCAAACGATCATTAATTCATAGACGACGTTGTCTTTTTTGTCACACAGACAAATACTTTTTTAGTAGAGGAGAAAGATGTGAAACACATTCATGGACAGTAATGGGACGAAATATACGTTTACCCTGCATAGGCTTAAAGAACTGTCTTGTATTTAATGAAAATATTTTGGCAAAAAAGGCTACAAATAGCACACGGTGTCGTTTTATATGTTCTGAATGCTTTATACAAGAAGGAGGTCATTTTTATCAAAGACAAGGAAGAGGAAAGAGCAGTCAATTAAACATATGTATCAATAATCATATTAAGGATAATTCAAAATCATTAGAATTAATAGGAAAGTGGTTACTTCATATGGCGAATACAAATGATGATGAAATGAAAGCAAGATTATTATATGAAATAACGAAATCATTTGTCAATATATTTAAAAAATCAGATTCTTCTAGTCAAGTTAATAAGTCTAAAGTAGTAAATAAGTCCAAAACAACGATAACAGATACTGATACTGAACAATTAAGTCACATGCTCTTAAAAATAGCATTACGTCTTCAAAAAGTGAATTTAAATGAACTTGATAATAATAAACAACTTAGTATTATGATTGAAAAACAACCTGAACAATTCGGTAAAGCAATGGGACATTTAATATGGAAATCGAAAGTAGATATAAAAAAAAATATTGACTATTTAGAAAATCCAGCATCACTTCAGGAATATAGAAATAATTTTCCATTAACTATACGATATTTTTTTGATGGCATGCTTGATTATATACAAAATAAAAAATGGACTATAGTACGTCAAAAACAACAACAACGAGGAATAACAACAACAAAGTATAATTCAATAAGAAGCGAAAAAATTTCTATATTTATTATTTCAGTTTTATTAAATATTACCTTTCCTAGTATAAATATATGGTTTACACATATATTAAGCTCATTATGTCAAAAACCTTATTATCAATCATCATTATATGCTATTTTATGTACAGCAAATGTAGTATCACATACTGCTAGACATGAAAAGCGATTAGAAAAAGCACGACAAAAGACAACAAATCCTTGTCAGAAATTATGGACAGGCGATAATATATGGAATTTGTGTATAATTGACAATATAGACTTTAAAGAGAAAACATTTTCATATGATAATATTTATGATATTACCAGACAAACTAAACACGCTACTTTAAGAATGGTTTTTCAATTTGAATTTCCTAAGTCTATATCACAAATAATATCTGAAGATGATTTTAATATGGATGCTGATACGAAATTTTACATTGGTACTTCTTTATTCTCTGAAAAGGAATTATTACGTCATAATTATATATTTAATAAATTACTTAACGAAAAAGGCATTGATTTTGATGAATGAGATATTATTCAAGAATTTACACATGGAATTGACTCATGTAATCTTTCACCACCAAATATCGTAATATTAAAGCCAGGTGACAATCCTAATAATAATGAACATATACATAATGCAGCTTGTATGTATATAGATGATGTCAGTATAAATATCACTAAAAATATTGATTTGGTTGCTGATGAAGCAATTTTTCGTCGTTTGGTTTCTTTAAAAGAAACTCATCCAGAATTTCGTCTCTTGTTGGGTGGTTGGCATACTAGCAAATGTATGAGTATAACACTTATAGCAATATTCTCTGGATATGGGATTTTTAATCTGGCAGCCATTCTTGGTGTGCGTTATTTTGATAAATTCGAAAAGGTTGTAGACTATCAGGCCACATCGAGAATAATAATATTAATATGGACAGGAGTGGGAATTGCTCTTCAAAAATATATTAGTAATTACAATAAAACTATGCATGATATTATGACTGGAAATAATAATATTGTAAAGGTTTGGTATTTATTTTTTTGTTGGGCTGGATATTGGGTGGGTCACAAAATGGGTATTCGACATGGCAATTGGAATATGCAAATTGAAAATTTAAAAGCTTTTACTCCTCTTTTTGCAGTAGCAGGTTGTAATAATTATACTCAATCAGTCACTTTTTTTTTAAATTATATTAATAAAGATAGATCATTACAAATTTTATTAAATAAGGCAGCATCTGTTAATATAACTAGACCTGGACATTATCTCGCCTTCGATGAAGTATTAGAGAGATTGGGTGTTAAGTTTGTAAAGCAAAATATCAGAAGAACATTAGGAACAATTGATGAACTAAAATTGCAAATAGCATCAGTACAGGCTGAATGAGAACGTTTAAATTTACTTTTGAATGAATATGTAGAAGAAAAACTATTTGTGAGAGAAGATCGCAATTTGAAATCACGAAGATTATCATTGTGGGAACTCTCTAATATTCTATTTGATGCTTTTACAGCTTCAAATCCAACAAAACATAAACTCTTTCGAGGTACTAGCCAAAATTATAAGGAGGGATTTAGTAGATTATTTACATATTACGAAATAGGACGAAATAGAATCTATGAAATATATAGACAAGATATTGAAAAATCAGAAACAAGAATAACAGTTGGACGTAGAGCTCGTAACATTATTATATCATCTGCCAGCAAGCAAAAAATAAAAGTACCAATTAAAGAAATGACAGAAAGACCAATAAAACGTCAAAAAACTCTAAATAATGCAGAATATAAAGATGATTTAATGTTAGAATATCCAGATGATTATGTAACTGAATGTCCTATACAATAATTTTTATTTTTATTAAATATTTTTATAATTTTCTTATAAATTTACAAATTATATGATCAAAATAATAGTGATTCTTATGTTGAAAAACTGTTTTTGCCAATTAAATAATAAAAT